GAGGTTTTAATACTATTAATACCTATACCAGTATTATTATTATTATTATTCTTGTTGTTGTTGTTGTTGTTATTATATATGTTATATGATATTATATAAATAATAATATTTTTTAAATATATAAATTATATTTACAATGTGTTGTTAATCATAATACATAAGTATTTATTGCAATAGAAGTATAGCTTATTGCAGTAGAAGTATGTTAAGTGGATATAATAATAATAGTAATAATAATAATAATGTAGTAGTGGTAGTAGTAGTTTAAAAACTATGATGATTTGTGGATAGTAATACAGTCATAATATTTTAGCTAAAGGCTGTGTAGCGTCTGGACCACTCCAACACACAATATATATTTTGTTAGCTTATATATATATATATATAGTAAAGAAAGAAACATACCTCCCTACTATATAGCGGGCAAAAATAGTGGTATGATTCACAGTATTCATAAAACAGTAATCAAAAAGTATCTCAGTGACGTACTACTTCCAGAAAGATCATAAAGTGTGCATCCAATGGACTATCCCATGAGGCCACAGGATAATATTTGTAAATGGCAGTGTAGTATGTCCATATTACATTACTACTTCACACATTCAAACAATATAGAACATAATATCTATTGTTGCAAAGTATGTACTTATTCAATAAGTATCTACTCAGAGAAGTATCTACAGCTGTCTACTTGTTTGGGACACAACCTCAGTGATTACAGTGATTTTTTTTGTGACAAATTTAATGAATATTTGGTATGATTGTACTTTAAATTGACATACTTGTATACTTGTATTGTAGCTTTTCTGTTAGTGGCCCATACATAGCTTATTAAAAAGTGACCTTTTTAACTTGCAAATCGTTCTATTCAGAAAAGACTTTCTGACTAAATGTAGCGATGCCTCTGATATACATATGTTATCTCAGTTAACATTTAAAGGGGTCATAGGATGCTACATGCACTTTTACAAGTTGTTTGAACATAAATGTGTGTTGGCAGTGTGTGTACACAACCACCCTATGATGATAAAAATTCACCCAGTCTTTTTTTTTTTATCTGGTTAAATGTTTTCCCCTTTCTCAAATCGAGCCGATCTCAGATGCCTGTCTGTGTGATGTCACACAGACAGGCCCCTCCCATGATAGTTTGATTGACAGTAGCATTTCAGCACAGCCTGGACTGATGTCTTACCTTAGTTCCGCCCTGAGTGAGCTGTCATCAGTCCACCATTGTTTCACCACTGGAGCAGATGTAGACAAGAATGACTCCTAAGCGATTGAGGTGTTCTGTTGTTGGATGCAATAATGAACATAGCAGTCATCATTTACTCCCGACATCTGAACCGCTGAACTCGCAGTGGATTACATTGTTTCTGAAGGGAATGCACCCCCCCAATCTACATAAATGCGTCTGTTTGTGCGAATCATTCATGATCCAGCCTCATCTACAGAAGAAGTGAGTATAATGTTTTGTAATGAATCTTTGCAAATCGCCTTTCCTAATAATGTGCTAATTAGCAAGTTTCACGATGAATGCAGCTAAAGTAAACCGTCTCTCTGAGAGCAGCTCGGAAGAGAGGGGCGGGGTCAGCAGAGCTCATTAACATTTAAAGGAAAATGCTACTAAAACGGCTTGATCTGAAAAGAGCTGTTTTTGACAGGGTAAAAATTACACTAACATTGAGAAATTTTAACTAAACTATGTTACAGACTTTTCATTAAGACCCCAAATAATCATATCAACTTGTGGAAAATTGGCATCCTATGACCCCTTTAATATTAAGATTTGCCGTTCTACATAACGTAATTAGTTGACACTTGCAGTAGTGCTACAACTGCCAGATTAGCACGAGTTTCCCTCTATCGCTTCATGATGTGGTTCTCCACGCTCAGATGAGTTTATAATCCTGACAAGTCCTAATGAACCTGTGCTAAATATTTAAACATTCAAAGGTGAGCCATCACTCTGACTTTGTCGTTATCAATGCTTGCAAAAATGATCAAGATCAAGACATTTATTTTTATTTACTTTTTTATTAAAGCGCAGTATTTACGTGAAGAGGATCAAAAGGGTTAGGTAGACACAAGAAGGGAGCTCACCGGGAAAACGGGACAGTATGAACGGGTTTATTTGCACAATGCATTATGGGTCTTGGAGAAGGTTAATAGGATTTTGTTCACATCAATAGCGCTGATGGCACACCATGTGAGCCGCTGCCCCCACATCAAACTCACGACACAAAAGTGGTGAAATGCATGGCGGGCTTCAGCACTTCTGACTGTCTTGCTGCACAACAGGGCCGCGGCGCCTGAGCAGTCATAATGACCAGTGGATGGCCAGTAAGATGTTTCTGGATTGGGAGTGTACTCTTTCATAAATATAATGGTGTGTGCTGTTAAAATCTGAAAGAATTCACAGTAGTTTTAAGCTTGAGTCATCACGACATTACATTTCGAAAACTGCCTCTTTAATCCTGTTTGTTTTGCATGTCTGCCTGATGCGGCTTCATATTAATTCAAAGCAGAAGCTGTTTTCACATATCATACACTAACTGAATTATAAATTATAGTGTATTTGCTCTGTAGAATATGAGTGCTAATATTCAATTTCTCCCTTTCATGTTCATCCCAGTTGCAGTGATGACGATGTGACTGTGAATTATTCATATAGTGTGTTTGTGTGTGTGTGTGTGTGTGTGTATGTGTGTGTGTGTGTATGACATAATGTGACATTTCATTATTATGTAAATTATTCATAATTTTTATTATAAATTAATGTTTTCTGGTTTTATTGGTGGTATTTCTATTAAATCCTCATTGCAAGATATTACTATATACTAAATAAATATTGATTTAAAAAAACATACTTTTTATTTGTATCTTGTTGTGCTACTTTTAAAAGGTGGCTTGACTGTTGAACTATTTGAAACTGTAGCTTGTTAGTCGCACGATATAGACATGTCTTGCGAATGGCTATAGACTACACAATAGAACAAGAGCCAAGAAGCAAGCGACGAGACCGCTGTTGTTTTATTGGAAATGTTCTTCCCATTTTATGGATTATTTCTGGCTCCGCATTGGAAAATAAATCCTCTTTTAGGGCTTGTCTTTGTCAGGGGCCAGTGGAGGTCTTGCTCGGATAGACATAAATATGGTATCCCACAAGGCTCCGTAAAGGTTGCTGAATTATCTTTATGAGGAGAACCATCAATGGCTTTGATGGCTTCTCGCTGGGACTCTAAGTACCCGTCTATTGGACGACACAAGTTCTCACGCGTCACCCACACACACACTAGTAAGAAATGGGGGATGGATGGAATGGATGATCAAGTCGCTCCAGAGTAGTCTCCCCGAACCAGCATGTGGGTGTTTTGTTCTCCCTCGCCCTCCTACAGTATTTATGGGAGCCCTGTGTCTTTCTGGCACTTTAATTGGGAATGAGAGTGGACGGTAGATGAGAAGTGGGCCTAAAGCATGTGATTGCTGTCATGCCAGAGAAATGCAGCAGCCAGAAAAAGAGGGAGAGATAGAAGGAGAGAGAGCTAGAGAAACGAGAGAAGCATCAAAGCTCTGGGAACGAGGCCAGGACACTGCTGAGTCTGACACTTCCTCAACCGATGGACTCTTCGCAGTCAGCGCTGTTTTGTTGCCTTGTCACGTAAAATGCAACGCTATGAGGGCGGAATCTCATTCTCGTTTTTGATTGATTTATTGTTTTCTCCTCACCCACTCTTGCTTGCTCGCCTTTCTGTTGCACATGATTCTTTTCTTGCATTATTCCCCACAAAAACAACCCTGCACCATAAGAGGAAGACATGTTGATCTGTCTGTGCTACCACTCCTCTCTCCACCCCGAATCTATCACATGTTTACTTGTAGAAGATGAATGTGGTGATGAAAGCAGACGTCTTTGATGTAAAATTGGCCGACCCCCTCCTCCCATGCACCGGGGGTGTAACTGCTGCCATCTCTGCCGTCTGACGCCGGTGGCTCCGCTCTGATCTAAAGCCACAAGAGTTGCACGTCTGCTTTTTTATTTTATTTTAACCGAATCGTGTTGCACTGGTAGGCCCACCTTTCAAGTAGAGGTTTGACTCTCGACTGATTTGTGTTCTGACTTGATCTAAGCTAAACAAAATAAAAAAACATGCATCAGTCGTGCATGTTGAAAGCCGGGACATCAGCTCTTATTATCAGGTCACGGTTATAATGTAAGCCTTTGAATTAAACCCACACAAGCATATCGGTTTTGGAACATCAGGATGTGGTCATTAATATAAAGAGGGTTATTATGGCACTTTGTATCCAACACATCGATTCATTCTAATAGCCTACATTCGCATTGATTTTGTTCTAATACATCATTAGCTATCATGCTGAAAGCATTATCCGTTAGGTATGAGTTCATTTGATGTTCGTAACTGACCCTTGTGCTTGCTTGTTTGTGTTGTGTGTTAATGGTCAGACTGACTGAAATAGCTCATATTATACTGCACAGTAGCTCACTGGTAGAGCATGATGCTAGCCACTGCAAGGTTGTGAGTTCGATTCCCATTTATGCAATTGGCAAATGCTCAAATCCATTGCATTAAATGTATAGATTTTATCAGCTCATGCATTCCCTGGGAATCAAACCCAGGACCCACTAGAGGGAACATGCACAAATCTTGAAATTAACTCTTTATATGCACATTTATGTGGTGCTAAAAGCTTAAAATAGCCTTTAGAAAAAGTACTAGTAAGTAGAAAAGCATGCTATTTTGATATGGTATTATTTGTTTACCGTTTTCATATGTTTGCCACTTTACCATAGTTGTAAGGTGTTTGAAATAATACCATGGTATTATCATCATGGACCACATCCAAACCTCCATTGAAATGCCATGGCATTTTTTCATAAGGAAAAAATCGTCTCCACTTACATATGATTCACTCTGAAAATGTGTCCACTTCCTCACAGTTATTCTGAAAAAAAACACACACACAGTAACAGCCCTTACCTTTCCAACATACTGCTTTCCAGTCCCCGTCCACTCCTCTAAGAGAAAGAAACTATTCCACATCCATCCTCGTTTAGTGCGTTGTAGAGTCCGTCCATCCCGATCTGACATGCTAATTCCAGGCACCGGCCGGATCAGTGCATCGCTCCAGCCCAGCAAGCAGAACAACAGGAGGAAAGTAAGTTGATTGATTATCATTGTATCCGATCACTCCTGGAAAGTCCTTGATAAGGAATCAATTAAGAAACAGAGCTCTACGTTGAAGATACTGCTGAATGGTGGGAGCGACGAAATGGGGCATCTTATCCTTAATTCTGTCTTCTTGAGGCCTGTGACGGATAGAAAAAGATCATTAAGAAACCATTTCAACGCAATATCAACACAAAGCTAAGTGTTTGCTAAATTACCTTTGGGTCAAGTGCCACAGTCTACAAAGGCACTCTGTAAATTTATGTTAGCTGACTAAAATTGTGTTGGCTAACTAGTAAACAAATCGTTAATATTGACTGATCACAAAGGATTAAGTGACTCAAATTTTAGCACACAGCAGTCTCTCGGTGGTCTCTAATTGATGAACTTCATGAGCCCGAATGTCTCTAAACATTTACTTTCCTCACTCTGCATAGATTTGCGGTTAACCCCCAAAATGCGGCAATAGCCAAAAATCGATAGCAAACGCAAAACGCTGAGGACCGCCACTTCTATAACACAAACTAGCATAAAAGAAGCAAAGGCTCACTGAAGCGGTCTCTCCTCCAGGACTAGTTCTGATAGGTAATTTGGAGGATGTATGCATAATTTATTGGCTTTTGGAAGTTAATCCTAATAAATCTTTCTTCCCTCATTTGACGAAAGCCCATTTTCCAGGAGTCTGCAGGAAAAGGCCAAGGAGCCAGGTTAGCCTGACAGGCATTCATTACGGCAAACGTCTCCAGGGGTCTCGTGAGCAAACGAGGAGCAGATTCATAATGTTGTGGCGTTTTTGTTTAACGATCTGAATCGAAGAAAAGAAAAGAAGGGGAGGCTTGGGAAAGGGGGTGGGGTGGGGTGGGGGAAAGAAATAAAACACACACGGTGTCAGCAAGGCCAAACAGGCTTGTCTGCGAACAAAGTGAATCCTTTCTTTGTCTAAGAGCAAATTAGGGCTTTGGTTCTATTTGATGTGACTGAAGTTATGCATGTAAATGAACACTGTCTTGTGAATACGAATCAAATCATTTACTTAATGAGATATGGATGAAATTAGGAATTATTCACTAGGCAGCGTTTGAAAGTGTGCAGACTACTGTAATTTGTGGAATAGCTGGCTTCGCTAATGTGAGTAATGAATTTTGTCAGCCCCAGCAGAGGAGGCCTTTTGTGGCCCAATCTTCCATTCAGACATATGCTTCAATGCAGCCCAGGGTTAGCTGGTAGGGCACAACTTTGACATTCAGAAGGTCCTTATGAATTAATCATGATTTTTATTTTCACGAGACCAAGCTGAGTCTTTCACATCCGGTATGAATCACGCATTGGCACGAACTGAGATGGTCTGTGTCTATGCGTGGAAAGTGCTGCCCACATTTGATTTTAGAGTGAGGGTCCTACTGATCGTTCAGGGGCATGTAATCAGCAGCTGGCATCAAAAAACCTGCACAAGTCTCTGGCGTGACCTTGACTGACAGATCCAGATAAATCTCCATCTGTCAGTGTCATGGTCCACGATCGACTTGATTGATTTAACGGTTTCTATGACACGTTTTCAATCCGTGGTCTTAGCTCAAGGGCGAGCGCGGACAAAAGAGTAATAAAAATGAGTTCTGATTCATGCATGTTTATTGCACGCTCTTTCAAAGCCTGATGAAGCAGGTCCTACCCTCTCAGAGTTTGCTCTTTCATAGCACTGATGGATTTAATGGAGTTCTCAGTGATGTGTCATTTAACTATCAGTTTTATCTTAGACGTTTCTCCTAAAATTGCTTAGGAGAAATAAAAAAAGCCACAAATTGCTCACACTGAGTAAGTGTATAGAGCTATAAAATGAATGTGGATAGCAGCACAGATAATGTAGCCTATTGCAGACTTAACCTTTTTCTCAGAAGAAAATAAAATCTGAGAAGCATGAGATGGTTATCATTTTATATGTTTATTATTTATATATTTATTTTCCTGGAGTCTTCTGAAATGAATTAATCAATGAATGCCGTTTAAGGTTGCTCTTTTTTAGCTCAGGAGATTTAATAGAATTCTTAGTTTCCTTCAAGTATCATTTATTTGTCTTGTATGGTGCCCGTAGGATCCCGCAGAAGAAATAAATATCCACAACTGTTCAAATGCAGTACAATATACGAGTAGGAGAGAAAGGGAGAGGAAAAAAATGTATGTGGAATGCAGCACAGATAATTTTGACTATTGTGGAATTTTCTCATTAAAAAATAAATACATTCTTAGAAGAGACATATTTATGTATGTATGTATTTCCAAAGTTTCCAAAAGTCTGCTAAAATTAATTGTGGCTCAAATCCACAATCCAGTCCTCCAATCCAGTTTCTCAGTTATGCTTCAGATGATTCTCCTTAAATCCCTTAGAAGAAATTAGTAGCCACTAAATAGACAATTATTGAATTCAAAAGGTGAGCTATACAATAAAATGTAGATAGCATAGCCATCATAGCTTTTCAAAAGCATAACTTTTGGAAGAATGTGATTAAGTATTTATTTATTTATTTAACAAACTTTGGTATATTGGCAAATCTGAACTCAGTTTGAGATATTTTTGAGATCTCTTCTAAACATAAAAAATGTTTATGTATGCTGTATACGAAATTATGTTCCACTGATGTTCAAATGTTGCTGTTTTAATGGCGTTCTCAAGTTATGTCTCGGTACACATTTTCTTTTTTAACATGCAGTAAGAGAATACAGCTTCAAATGTGGACAGCATAGCTCAGATACTTTGATTTTGGAAGAATTTGATTATACTTTTTATTGCAGACTTTGGTATTCGTTGCAATTACAACATGAGATTACCAAAAAAATTAAAAATAAATCTGAGAATCAAGAGATTTAAAATATTGTCCATGCATGCTGTATATTTATTGCACATGCTGAAGTCACAAACAATTTGTGGTTCCCATTGTTCATAAGCGTTGTTCAAGAATTGGCGTTCTCCTCCTCAGGGTGCTTTTGTTTTCATTAGGCATGGCGAGTTGAGTTATCAAATCACACACTGTACAAGATTTTTGCAAGTTTACACAACATAATAAAGGAGAGAGAGAGGCGCTGCAAATATCCAGCTCAGTCGGGAAGATGTTAACACTACAGCGGTGAGAGGATGTAGCTTGTGAAAAGGCCCAGACAGGAGATTGTGTGTTTGTATGATGACTACAGGATTCACAGGGTGCCAGAAACCCATATATATATTTTAAATCCTGTTATCGTGCACTCTTAGCCTTTCCACTGCAATGTCAAGAACGTTCTGGCAAGAAAAAAACGAAATTGTGTGCACCAATTTATGCGTGGCGATCCTCATGATTGCATTTTCTAATTATCATTCAAGGCTGTCCTTGAGGTTTAATAGCATTCTGGATATTAATCTTTGCTACAGCATGCCTGTTAAACGTTAGGCCAGCGAATCTTTTTTATTATTATTTCGCCTGTTACCATACAACAAAGACAAGCTATCTTGCCAGATGTTTAGGACTGTCACTTAATTATCTCACTTTGATTCGTGCATTAAAAACTTGTTTATGTGCGGCAGTAAGGGAGGATCCGCAATACTATAGGGGGAGGAACGGAGGAAGCGCAAGGGAGTCGAGCGAGGAGGAAGAATCTTCTCACTTGTCCTATTAAGAGCGTCTAATTAGTGTGTATATGTGAATTTGGGCGTATGAAGACATGCTAGTCAAGGCATAATGAGGAAATGCTATATAATTATAAATTAATTGGTGGAGAGGACGGCGAGTTGTCCTTCCGGAAAACTCCACCCGTTGATCGGTGTGAGACACTGAAAATATTTTGTGAGCGGTATTTTGCAAACGGGTGACAAAGTTCAAGTTTTGTAATTTGCAGACTTGATTGACAGTGATATACAGCCCAAGTCTGCAGGATCAGACCACTAGCGTGAGCACAGACCCGCCAAAGTCTTTCTATGTAATTGCCGTAGTCCTGTCTGCAAGGTAGTGCTATATTTCTCCCGAGGTTTATAAAAGCAGTCTGGGGCAGTGTTGTCTTTGGGGAGTACATCTGCCAGAGTTCAACACAGCTTCGTTCACTCATGCTATCTGCCTCCAAACACCCCCTCTCTTTCTCTCTCAGTATATTCCCCCTAAGACCATATCAGACACGGATCATTTAGGGAAACTGGGTTATTTCTGTCCACACCTGACTGTGCTCTGATGGATGTCTGGAGCCATATGTGGGATACGGAGGCTTGTGTCTGTGCATTTGTCATGCTTATTATTGCTGGGGGAAGTTTTTCGGAGCTTCTCGTTTTCGTGACCTTGACATCTCAAGCATTAAAGGATGGAGACTTCATTTGGGTTATAAGTTTGACGGGAGAACTTCACTTCTGGAAACAGGATGGACAAATTGCTTAATAATATATATATATAGACTGCATACGCTCTGAAATATTGCCCAAGACCTGTCTGATTTCTGACAATCGAAGCACCCTTTATCAAGGTCAGATAAAGATGGACGTGGAGTTTGTTTTTTGTAATATTTACAATAGCAGAGCCCTTCCTTCACTTTAAAAATAAGGCTGGGGCTTGTAGAATCAGGATTGTGTGGTTTAAAATGTTTGTTTGTGAAAGATCAACCATGGTGAAGACTGGGCTTCATTGCTGCTTAGTATTGAATTTTGAGCCACTTGGTGGAGCTAACTCTCTCTCAGATAACACTGAAGTTCTCTATCTGTGTCTTGCTCTGTTTCCCTGTGTATATCATGTGTCTTCAGCCTAAAATTCTGAAAATAAATGCAAACAGATTTGCACATTATCTAGGAATTGGAGTCTGATTGGCAGTTTACCTTTATTTTCAGGCTAATGTAATGTTATGTTCATTGCAGGACAAAACAGAAACATACTTTTGTATTTTATTTTATTTATTTTATTATATATATATATCATATTTGTGTGTGTGTGTGTCAGAATTAAAGCTTGATTAATTCCCAAATTAAAGTTTTATTGCTCTTTCATAGCTCAGGAGATTCTCTGTTTTATGTATCAACTTTGACATCCGGGCAAAGTATAGAGCTATACAATTTTCATTACTATAACAGCTCAGAATTTCATATTAATATTGAAATTTGACCTTGGAATCTCGCAAATCTGAG